GTCAAAACGAACTTGTTAACTTCCCGTAGGGTAAGTTATAGCAATTGCAAAAAAAATCGAAAATAAAAATTTGTATATATTTTTACGTTTCAAAGGTTTCTGAACATTTTGGCATACCTTAGAAAAAATGGATGTATATGTATATGTGTGTGTGTGCGTGTGCGGATACAAATTTTCGTCGACGATTTTGGGAGCACCGATCAACCGATTTGAATAATTCAAAAAATATTCGATTCGTATTGATAGGGAGACGTCCTGATTAGTTTTTGGCGGTCTAGCCGTTCCGAAGATACGGGGCAAAAAGTGCCAAAAATGGTAACTCAGTTTTTAAGAGAACGGAGCGTCCGATTTTAATAATTCGAAAAACATTTTACTTGTATTGACAAAATAAACAACTGGTTAAATTTTCATGAAGGTAGGTCTAGCGGTTTCGGAGATCTAGTAAAAAAAGTAAAAAAATGCCGTTTATTAGCGGTCAGAAATTATCATCAGACATACGCACATAAAATTATCAGATATTTTATAGAGTAGTTTTTTACTTTTAACAATAAGTATAAATTTTGTTGACATTCTTATGGGTTCCGTACCAATGTTTATCCGTTAGACGGCGACGCGGGGCTTCGATATTTCCTCTCTATGCAGTTAAAACAGTACGATTGCTTTGAAAAAAGTTTAGAACTTCCAAAATATTTCAAAATAAAGAAAACATTTTTTTTCAAAAAGTTTTTTTTTTCCAAAAAAAACTTTTCCAAAAATTTATAGTTTCTGAAAAATCCAGTTTTGTCAAAGTATTTTTTTTTTCAAAAATGTTAATCTTTTTTAAAAAAATATATTTTGGTACGGGAAGTTCCAGCAATTTGCCTTAAGGCACGCACGATGCCATGCGCCCCACTAGTTAAATAAAATATTATAGGCTTAGGAGAAGCGGTATAATTATGAAAATGCAAAAATGAGCGAAAAATAAAGAAATTTAGAAATTTTTTCAAAATTTAAAAATATTTTTAGAAAACTGTTTTTTTTTGGAATAAAAAAAAATGATTTTTTAAATTTTTTGAAAATTTAGTAATTTTTGAAAATATTCGATCTTTTTGAAAATTTCGAAATATTCTCAAGTGTTTATAAGAAACCAATTTTTTCTCAAGATTTAGTTTTTTTTTGAAAATTTTCCAAATTACTATATTTTCTGTAAATGCATTTTTTGCACACCGTCAAGCAAAAAGTTTTTTATATTAATCTAATCGGATAATCCGTTCTCTCAAAAACTGCATGAGCATTCTTACACCCTCCATTCCATTCCGAAACGGCAAAATTTCGAATTCGAATTTTTTAACCGAACGATTTTTCAATCATACAAATCTGTTATTCCATACTGTCTAAAATGTCGAGGATATTTGTTTCAACCATATAAATGAACTTCAAAATTGAAAATCTTGGTACGAAAGCCAAAAAATTGACACAAAATGTGTCCACATTATTAAAATCTTTATAAAATATCTTATAATTTGATGTGCATATGTCTAATGATCATTTTTGACCGCCAAATTGCATTTTTTTATTGAAACTCCATAACCGCTGCACCTGTCTTTCTAAGAATTTAATCAGTTCTTCATCTTGTCCATACATGTGAAATGTAAATTTTGAATCATCAAAATCGGACGCTTTTTTCTCTAAAACTTAATTACTATTTTTAGCTGTTTTTCCCCGTAACTTCGAAACGGCTAGACCTGCCCATACCTAAAAACTAATCAGCACGTCTCCTTATCAATACGAATCGAATGTTTTTTGAATTATTAACATCGGTTGATCGGTGCTTCCGAAATCGACGACAAAAATTTGTATCCGCACGCATACATACATACATTTTTTCTAAGGTATACCAAAATGTTCAAAAATCTCTGAAACGTAAAGACATAAAAATTTTCATTTTCGATTTTTTTGCAATTACTATAATTTGCACTACGGGAAGTTAAAAATGTAAATGTTATTTTAAATAATAATATAAATGTTTGTTAAAGGTTGCTAATGTCCTACTTTTTTAAAAATGAGGAAAGTTTTTGCACACACAACAAATACTCAAATATGTTTGAAAACATTATGACAATATTTCAAATTTATTTTGTACACTATGTGATCAACCGATTTGAATGGTTCAAAAAACATTGGATAGCTATTGATAGGAGATGTGCTGATTAGTTTTTGGCCAGCCGTTTTGGAGATACGGAGCAAAGTGTGCAGAAAATAGAAATCGATTTTTTGAGAGATCGGAGCATCCGATTTGAATGATATAAAAATCATTCAATTTGTAATGAAAGGGAGAAGTGGTGATTCGTTTTTGGCAAAGGCGGGTACAGCGGTTTTGGAGATACAGAGCGTCCGATTTGAATGATTCAAAGAACTTTCTGCCCGTTTTAGCAAAATAATTGCTCTTGGAAAAAAAAATTTTGTTTCGATTTTTTTCCAATTTTTTTTTTTGTGTATCGAAAATAATTCAGAATTTAATTGTAATTCTGACTTAAGTTCTAATATACTTTAAACAAATATTTTCAGCTTTGCAATTCAGTTTATATATTTCTAATAAATATTAGACAATTTACAGTATTTATAATAATCTTGAAAACATTTAATATTTCTTGAACATATTTCGTTACGGTGCGGGAAGTTCCGGCAATTTGCCTTAAAGCACGATGCCATACACAACACTAGTTATGATTATATTTATAATTCTATTTACATTTCATCAATATCTCAAATCTATTACAGTTAAAGTTTTGTTTTTGTAACAAAAGTTTAAATTGTGTAGCTTGTTATATTATGCCTGCTGAAAATATCCATTTTAGAAAAGCAAAATTCTTTGTTTTTGTATCTGAACTGAATGGTCCAAAAAACATTCAGTTTGTAATGATTGAGAGAGAATGGTAAATTTTTTTTTGGCAAAGGCACGCCCGGCCATTTTGGAGATAACGAGCTAATTGTGCAAAAAATTTCAGTTTTTGAGAGAACTAAGCATCCGATTTAAATGACTCAAAAAACTTTCTGCTTGTTTTAACAAAATAATTGCTTTAGACAAAATTCTGTTTCAATTTTTTTTCAGATTTTTTATTTCTGTACATCGAAAATAATTCAGATTTTAATTTTAATTCTGGCTAAAGCTCTAATGCTCACTTATATACTCTAAATAAATAATTATAACTTTGTAATTCAGTTTATATAATTTTTATAAATATTAGACAATTTTATAGTATTTATAATAATCTATTTGAAAACTTTTAATATTCCTCAAACATTTCGTTACGGTACGGGAAGTTCCAGCAATATGCTTTAAGGCACGATGCCATACAACACTAGTTGTTCTTTGTTTGGCATTTAAACTTTGATTTCTGTATCTTATATTGATAATTTTGTATTAAGTAATTGTAAAATTCCCTTTAGCTAAATGATGAGGCAAATGTAGTTTTGAAACGTATAAATTAAAATAAAATTTTATATTATTCCGACGCATTGGCTGTTTATGTCATAAATTTCAGGAGCTACATTTACTATAATATTATACTATTTATTAGTAACCTAATAATATTTATCAACTTGAATATTCTCTTGATGACAATATTTGTAATATAAGTCGCATTGAAATTATTAACTTTTCGCATAAGAAGTTGGTTTTCGCAAAAAAATGCATGTATTCTCGTCGTTTCAAGTCATTCTAAATCGAGTGAGACCAAATTTGGAAAAAGTATGCGTTCTTGTATGTAAGCCGATTTTTGACCTTTCGTTGAAGTTTGCTCAAAAACGTCTGAACCGATTTCAAAAATTTAAAATCTGTTCGATGGAACCAGAATCGGTCAGTTTTGTGCTATGATCGGCCAAGTCATTTCTTTGTAATTACTAGAAGAGTATAAAAAAATTTGTCCACGTTTTAGCCCAAAACGTTGAACCAAAGAAGATATTGATCGAAAATCGCGTTGATAAGTTTTTGGTGAAAATCGGCCGGGCCGTTTCTTTGTGATTAATATGAAAGTTAAAAACGAGTTTTTGGTTTTAAAACTTTTCTTTCTGGAAGTTAAAAATAATGAAATATTATATCATGTAATATTATTAACTTCTCGCAGGGTAAGTTATAGTAATTGCAAAAAAATCAAAGATGTAAAACCGTTTCAGAGGTTTCTGAGAAAATTTGTACACACATACATACATATACATCCATTTATTTTAAGGTATGCTAGGATGTTAACCTTTGAAACGTAAAGATATAATATAAATCAAAATTTTAATTTTTGTTTATGAGAAGTTAATAAGTAACCAATAATAACAAATATTAGATCAAGCCCTTTTTTAAAACAAGTTTTAATTTTTATGTTACTCATATACATATATACATAAACATAATACATATAAATATAAATATAAACAACTTAATTTAAATAATGACACTATATGTTCTTGTAATAACTTCTGGCAGTAAACAATATTTGGTGAGCAATAAATCGTTAAATATTATATTTTATTAGCCACCACAAATATTTTCAAAGATATTTTTTAAGCAATATTCAGCAAACTGCTCTACACTGATGAGAACGTCTGCTAATTATGATTATAATGTCTTACTGTGTTTAAAATTATGAAAATTTAATCCTCTATCATAAATTCATCTGCAAACTATTTTATCGGTATACTTTTATCAGTTTTCTTGATTGTTTTGTTTTGAATGGCATTTTAATTCATGTTTAGATTTTAACGTTTCATTACATACTTTACATTTTTAAAGATGTTCTACAGTATCAACAGTTTTATATTTGTTTAATGATTGTGTAGCTGCGAATGTTTTATTCATTAATGATTGCTTTGTGGTGTGGACAAATTCATATAGTTTTGAATTTCGTTTTATTCTGAATACTTCATTGCATATTCTGCATTTATGTGGTCATTCTCCAGTATGAATCATTACATGCTGGTTTAATATTTCTTTTCTCGTGACTGATTTATTGCATAATGGACCAAGAATGTTAACTAGTATGAATCAATTCATGCCGACTTAAATATAGTTTTGATGCAAATATTTTTTTACATACTGCGCATTTATGATTCTTTTCTTTAGTATGGATATATTCATGTCGTTTTAAATGGCTTTGTGTTGTAAATGCTTTATTGCACATTTTGCATTTATGTGGTCGTTCTCCAGTATGAATCATTAAATGTTGGTTTAATCTGGCTTTTCTTAAAAATGTTTTATTGCATAATGCACACTTATTAGGACGTTCACTAGTGTGGATCATTTCATGCCGACTTAAATATTTTTTTGTTGCAAATGTTTTTTTACATACTGCACATTTATGATTCCTTTCTTTAGTATGGATAAATTCATGTTGTTTTAAATAGCTTTTTGTTGCAAATGCTTTATTGCACATTTTGCATTTATGTCGTTCTCCACTATGAATCATTACATGTTTGTTTAATATATCTTTTTTTAAGAATGTTTTATTGCATAATGCACACTTATGAGGACGTTCACCAGTGTGGATCATTTCATGCCGACTTAAATATAGTTTTGATGCAAATGTTTTTTTACATACTGCACATTTATGATTCTTTTTTTGAGTATGGATAAATCCATGTTGTTTTAAATTGCTTTGTGTTGTAAATGCTTTATTGCACATTTTGCATTTATGTGGTCGTTCTCCAGTATGAATCATTACATGTCTGTTTAATTTGTCTTTTATTGAGAATGTTTTATTGCATAATGCACACTTATGAGGACGTTCTCCAGTGTGGATCATTTCATGCCGCCTTAAATTTTGTTTTGTTGCAAATGTTTTTTTACATACACCACATTTATAATTGCTTTCTTTAGTATGAACAAATTGATGTTTTTTTAATAAGCCTTGTGTTGCAAATGCTTTACTGCATATTAAGCATTTATGTGGTCGTTCTCCCATATGAAACATTTTATGTCGTATTAGATTACCATTGGTTAAAAATTCTTTATTACATGTTTCACATTTGTAAGGACGTTGTCCTGTATGAACGCTTTCATGTTGTTTTAATGAAAGTTTTGTTGTGTATCTTTTATTGCATTTTGCACATTCATGAAGGTGTCTTCCTAAAACTTTTTTAAATGATTTATTGCATTCACTTGTATTATCGACTAAATCACTTGACTTACTGACGTCGTCATTACATATGTAAAGTTTGTTATATGAATTTATTTTGTCCTTACTAGTATCTGCAATGTGCTCATCGATTGGTTCATGTTTAATTTCTTCGTCAATTGTAACTTCAGATTTTAAAAATTGCTGTAGACATATTTCTTCGTTTTCCATATAAGAATACTCATCAAAACGGGCTTCATCTTGATCATCAATTGTTTCTTTCTTTATTTCTTTATCTATAGTGACTTCAGAATTTATAAATCGCTGTTGATAAATTTCTTCGTTTTCCATATAAGACCCCTCGTCGAAACTTGTTTCATCTTGATCGTTAATTGTTTCTTGTTCTATTTTTTCGTTTAATTCTAAAAATTGCTGTAAATATATTACCTCGTTTTCTAAATATGTTTCTGGAATAATGTCGTAATCATCAAGTTCTTGTTTAACTGGAGGATAATCGATTGGTTCAATTTTAATTGTTGGGTTTGAAATTGTTTCTTCGGTCATTTTCGGCGCTTGTCGTGTTTTATAAACAAACAAACAGTAATTTATAAAAGTTAAAGCTTTCAATTTATATGCTTTGCATCAATGATAAATATGTTTTAATATACATATATCTATTAATTCGTTTTGACTTTGACATTTCGATTTGAGTCTCACTTCGCATAAGATTGAGATCAGGTGTGACAACACTCAAACGTTTCATTAATCATGGCATAGATGTCATGGTATTATGGATGGTCGCAAAGCGCTTTCATTCACATAAATGAAATAGGAGTGTCTTCAAAAATAAAACTAGTAGTGTGACTAGACAATCCTAGAACTCCTATTGATCCTAGACAATATTAGAATACCCCGTGTTCATAAAGACGTTTCTCTCGCCCGATTTTACGTTCAGAAAGAATACTTAAAGGGTCCTCCGCTCGACGTGATGGCGCTGCTTTTGGCACTCAAATTAATGGCGCAAAATTTGAAATAAAAATTAATGAATTTTAGTACACGGGTATTTGAAACTAAATTTGGTATTACAATCGTATTATGTTTAGTAATAATACAATAATAACAAAAATATACTAGATAATATAATATTATAATAAATATACAATCAAATCTTATTAATATAAATTTAGTGAATAATGCATTATAGTGTTAGTTATTTACATCGTCTGTCATTCTTAATTCTCATTAACTAATAATCATCCCGTGCAAAATTTGACATTCTTAAGCAATTCATTTTTTCCCAAGTATATTCAGATCCGTGTGAAGTGGTAATCCAATTTAAACAGCTTGAAGATTTCTATTTGTGTAATATGTCTTTCTTGTTGAAGCTTATACTTGATTTCTTACATAATTTCCTAGAACTGGCCTCTTTCCTTAAAGTGTATTATGATTAGACTAATGTGTCACTGCACTATGTAGTAATTATGTCCTCCATATGAGTTTGAAGCTGTTCTATTCATATTGTCAAAGGGCTATGCATTTGAGAGCAATTGCTAATGAAATCTTTATTAACAAATATACAAACACTGACCCAAAAATAACACTGACGCACACTGACGTTTCTTAGTATCCAACATAAAACATTTGAAAATACTTTTTCATCGGCTTACTAGCACTAAATTTGCGACTACAAATGGACCCCTAAGTAGCCCTTCTGAACGAGGAATTTGTTGTGAGAGAATAGGCCCTGGCAGTATGTATGGCATCGTGCCTTAAGGCAAATTGCTGGAACTTCCCGTACCGTAACGAAATGTGCGAGCAACATTAAATGTTTTCAAATAGATTATTATAAATAAATAATGTAACATTGTCTAATATTTGTTTAAAATATATTAGAACTCAAAGTATATTAGAATTTAAATCAGAATTACAATCAAAATCTGAATTATTTTCGATATACAAAAAAAAATTGAATTTTTTTTTCTCCAAAAGCAATTATTTTGTTAAAACAAGCAGAAAGTTCTTTGCATCATTCAAATCGGACCTTAGTTCCCTCGAAAACTACCATTTTTTGCACATTTAGCTCTGTATCTCCGAAACCGCTGGACCTGCCTTTGCCAAAAACTAACCACCGCTTCTCCCCGTCATTACGAATCGAATTTTTTTGTATCATTGGATCGATTCACTAATTGTATGTTTTCTCGACGTTTCAAGCCATTCTGAATCGAATGAGACCAAATTTGAAAAAGTATTTGTGCGCGTGTGCGTGAACAGATTTTTTGCCGTAAATCGACGTTTGCTCAAAATTTAAAAGCCATTCGATGTGTCTCGATGAGGACTAGCGTTCATCAATTTTGTGCGACGATCGGTCTAACCGATCATCACCGATTTTCATGATTTTTTTTTGGTGATAGATATCATGGTCATCTAGATCATACTAAAATATTAAGGCCCTACGACAAGCCGTTTAATTTTGAAAATTCGTCAAAGTTTGGAAAGATTAGTATTGTTACTTTGGCGTTTGATAAAATTAGAACTTTCATCGACGCTTGCTCAAAAACGCCTGAACCGATTTCAGAAGTTTAAAAGCCATTTGATGTATCTCGATGAGAATCATTTGTTGTCAATTTCTTTGTAATTTGAAAAAAAGTGTTAAACTTTTCGTCCACATTTAAGCTCATACTTCCGAATCGATATTAAAAAATCAAAAAAAGATATTAGTTGGGAATGATACTAATTAGTTTTAAGTGAAAATCTACCGAGCTTGTTTTCTTGTAATTAACTGTTGAAAAAAAATTTAAGCCGATTTTTATGGAACTTTTTTGGCGATATTTATCATGGTCTTATAGAACTTACTGAAATATTAATGCCTTAGGGGGCATGCCTTAATCACGCGAGCGAGTTTTTAAGGATTTTTGGACCCCCTAACCCTTGGTGATACATGGTGATATTCAAAATTACCCCCCCTCCCCCACCAAACATCACGTGTATTTTTAGTTATGTGAAAAAACTGTAAAATTTGTGAATGGAGCTTTTTTTTGAAAATGTTTGATTTTTAAAAAAAGAAACAGTTAAAAAATAAATACACGTGATATCTTACTATACCCCTCCCTCCCCCACGTGATATTTCGTGATTTTTTGTCAAATCCCCCTCGCCCTAAAAACCTCACGTGGTTAATGGACGCTGCTCCCTACGACAAGTAGTTTAATTAACTTTCCGTAGGGTAAGTTATTGTAATCGCCCAAAAATCGAAATTGAAAATTTTTACATTTCTTCACGTTTTGAAGATTTCTGAACATTTTGGCATACCTCAGAAAAAATGGGTGTGTGTGTGTATGTATGTATGGATACAATTTTTCGTCCACGTTTTCGGGCGCACGGATCAACCTATTTGAATGGTTCAAAAAACATTCAATTTTATTGATAGGAAGATGTGCTCATTAGTTTTTGGCAAAGGCAGGTCCAGCCGTTTCGGCGATACGGAGCAGAGAATGCAGAAAATAGAAATCGAGTTTTTGAGAAATCGTAGCAGCGGATTTGAATGATCCGAAAAACATTCAATTCGTAATGACGGGGAGAAGTGGTGATCAGTTTTTGGCAAAGGCAGGTTCAGCGGTTTTGGATATACAGAACTAAATGAGCAAAAAATGGCAGTTTTTGAGAGAACTAAGCGTCCGATTTGAGTGATTCAAAGACCTTTCTGCTTGTTTTAACAAAATACACCTAAGTCTGTTTTTACACGGTCTTTTTGTACACGGTTTTGATATAACACAGTTTGAAAATTGAATATTCTTAATTTTTTTACACGAATTTATTCCATTTAGCACGATTTGAAATTTTATGTACCTAAATTTTTTTTGTCAAATTAAATTTTTGCGAAGTATGTTCATATCACAAAAAAGTATTTATGAAAGAAAAAAGTCTGAATCCATCGATAGTATCGATAGTTTGCGAACACTAGCTTAAAGATTTAGGTGAATTCCCCTTTAGCGCGTACAAACAATTTTTACTGGTCAAAGCAAATGTGAATAGCACTAATTTAATTCTTGTTCTTAAAAATTCTTGTTTTTCACCAATTTTAATAAGTTTTAGAGTTTAGGAACAAATCACCCATTTTTGTATAAGATCAATGTCTTTTTTTAGACGTTTTTTTTTACACGGATTCTTCTGGAACCAATCTCCGTGTAAAAACAGACTTAGGTGTAATTGCTTTTGGAAAAAAAGATTTTTCAAAAAAAAAAAAATTATTTGTATATTGAAAATAATTAAGATTTAAACTGTAATTCTGACTTAAATTCTAATATACTTTAAACAAATATTTTCAACTTTGCAATTCAGTTTATATAATTCTTATAACTATAGACAATGTTACAATGTCTATTTTAGTGCAGTAAACGGAGCGTTTTAGGTCTGAATTTTTTTACTGTGCTTCGAATTGAATGAAATTTTGGAATTAGGTTCATCTTACCCCCAAGTTCAAAAGTGAAAACAATTCGGGTTGCGCCATCACCCCCCGGGGGGATGACACCCCTTCTCAATTGTGTAATCACATTTTTTTCAAAATAACGTCGGCAATCGATAGAATAATTAATTATAAGAAAAAAATATCTTTTATAGTTTTTCAAAAAAACTAATACTTTTCAAGTTACTGGCCACTAAAAATTCATATAATTTTGGCGTTTTTCTTCGTTTTTTGCAAATATCTCCTAAAATATACATTTTAAACGAAAATTATGTAATGAACAAAATAATGTCAATAAAAATCTTGATAAATCGGTATTACATAAAGTGTTCTAGGAAAAAAAAGTTTTTATAAAATCGTGAGTTTTCTGAAAATAGTTTGTACTAAAGTAGTGAATCTGCTAAAATCCATCAAGATGTCTATAATGAAGTGAATTCTAGATGGAATATAAATTACTTTAATTCTGGTGGAAATGGCACTCATTAAACCATATGATTTACAAGAAAAAAACTTTGTATATGCTTCTTATTTTCATGATAGCTCACTCATTTCACACGCGGGGTGATGACGCAACCCGCATTGTTTTCACTTTTGAACTTGGGGGTAAGATGAACCTAATTCCAAAATTTCATTCAATTCGGAGCACAGTAAAAAAATTCAGAGGTTACACCCTTTTTTCCTCTCCGTTTACTGCACTATTTATAACTAGCTGAACCAACAGATTAACCGTACTTTGCATTTGAACAATTGAATATTCACACAAATTCCAAACTACAGGCTAAAACGTAAAAGAAACGAAAACATTTTATTTGGATAAAAGATGCAGAACAAAATTACGAATAAAATGATATATAAATCGTTAAGTGTGTTCATATAATTTTTTCGAGATTTTTCAGTTTTTATTAATTTAATTTTACTGCAACTCGCCTTTAGGCCACACCGTTAGGAATTCGAAGTTGCAAGATAAGGAAAAAGATCTAAGAATTTTGGGACCTTTCTAATGATGTATAATACTTTATGTTTTCTTTAGAGAAATATCGAAGTGTGAACTGTAAACTAATGAATATTTACACTATTCGATATTTCCCTAACTGTAAACTAATG